GTTGAACAAGCATTGAATTGAATCTTGCCGACTTTTCTTGTTTATTTTGATAAAACTGTATTTTGTTAGTTAGATTTGTACTGAACAAAATATTTTTTCATGTTATTCCTTATTTCTCGAATAAATTTATTATTTTAACCCAATTTGTTCCTGAGGAAATGATAAATATTCTTGAAATGTTAGCGATTCGGTTTATTCAAATATATATTTCATGTTCAAGACATTTCAAGAAATAATAAAAGTTGTTTAATTTCTCATATATAATGGCTTTGTATCAGAACCTCGAAATATTTGATGAAAGTTTAAAATAATATTAATAAAACAAAAGGCAAACTTGCTCCAAAAACTCAAAATAAAATTAACACTTTTTCATAATCTATAAGTAAATTTTGGTTTAATATATAACCAATGATAGTCTGCAATTCCGAAAAAAAAATTAGAACTTCGTCTAATTTATTGTAATAATTCGTAATAATTTATTTGTTATCGTTTACGCCGTAATTTTTCAGGATTGACAATGTGGCAGCAAATAATACTCTTTGTAGTGACGTAAACTATTTCTAATACCCATAGTTAACAAGCATTCAAATATTGCCTGGCCTATGTTGGGCTTTCCTTGCGTAGGACTTTCAATAAAACTGCATTTCGTTTGTTAGATTTCCACCAAACAAATAATTTTTATTTTTTTCCCATTACTTATTATACTTATTATTTTAACCCAATTTCTTCCGAGTGAATGATAAAGTATATCGAAATGTCTGTGATTTGATTTATTCCATGAAGTGTAAAATGATTTCATATCTTATAGGTAATGACTTAGAATTAGTAATTCTAATTTAGAAACATTTTAAAAATTCCTTCCCTTCAAGTATAAAAGTCTTTCAGATATTCGTCAATAAACCCTATTTTGTCTGGCCAGTGAAGTTAAGCAAATCCACAATCGACTTCTTATTTGCCTGGTTACAAATTGAGCTCCGAGAAATCCAAATTTTGACATTGAAAACTCTGGTGTATCCAAGCCGTTTTTAATTTAAAGTTTCGAAAGTCTAGTTAACTTGATATTTTCGGAACAAATAAGTAAGACTTAATATATAACTATTGAGAGTCTAAAATTCAGACAAATTCAGATCGTCCCCTGAACTTTGTGTAAGGTTCTGTAAGGTTTGTCAGTTTACAACGAATCATTTTATGCAAATTAGATTCATTTAGAAAAATCGAAATCAAAATCACGAAATAATCAAGTAATAATTAGGTACTTTCGTGAAAACATTTTTTTTGATTTATATTATTGCTTTAATATTTCTCAGAAATTGTTTTATTTCTTTTTACCCTTCATAAAACGGAAACGTTTACAGTAACAGCAGTACAAATGATAACTGTTTTTTACTGGAATATTTCGTGCATTGTTTTCAGATTTATTTCGAAAAATCTATGAGTTCTGTTATCAATGTTTTAGGCCCCTTTATCAGTTGTTAGGTCCATATATTTTGATAGATATTTCTCCCTGATAAAAAATACCACAATAATTTTTGCTATGATATCTTTTACGAAGAATTAACTCAACTTTTGAGCTAAATTGAAAACAAAAGTGAAAAATCAGACCCATTTTCAACTTTTGTTTTCAATTTGACTTATTTTTGATTTCCATGATATTTAAAATTTTGTTTTCACAAAAACACATTCAAGTTGAATACAGTTATAGCATTGAGCTTACTTCAAATAGGCAAGCTTTATCATTTTTATTCGTAGACCCCTTTGGCTGTCAAAATATGACAAGCGAACTCCTCTATGAATCCAATCACAGCATCGTTTGCTTCGAAATAAGCAAGTTTTTTGTTCTCCTAATGACCCCCGTACCCCACCCCCCTTTCGACTGTCAATAACTGCCCTAACAGAAAAGCAACTTTCATTCCTAAAGTGTGTGAATTATTGTGATTCCTTTTGAACTTGCTCTGGTATTTTATTTTTTAGATATGTTTCCTATTATTATCAATTTTCGACAAAATAATTCGCCAAAACAAATTATTTTTCACGAACTGAACTAAAAAAATTAAATTGATGAAAATAGTTTGAACTTCTAGTGCAGAAATATTATTTTTTACTTTGTGTGAATAAAATTATCTCACAAAACATCAACAGTGTATTTTGAAAGATTCATCAAGATTCATCATCAATTTTTTGGTGCAATTTAACGAGTTTTACACGTTTTAGCAATTTTTTTTATGGTTTCTGACGGAAGTCTTCGCTCCGAATAAGGAAAGCTTTTATAGAGAAAGCTACTGTCATGTTGATAATTGAGGATAAATGAAGCAAAATTTTCAACCTGGTCATTAACATTGAGAATCATTGCAAATTCGTCTATAGAATTTTTGTGGCGCTCCGTCTGCCCTTTGATACCCTAACCATGTGCTCATTTTTGCTTAATGGGTAATCCAGCACTGTGAATCACTCTCAGATGGCGAGGAGTCCAGCAATTCTCCCGCACATAATTGAACTTGCTGACGCGAACAAGGTAATAAGCAATAAGAGGGCATGCTGGTCCAAACGCTCAGTATGATGACATCGAGCGCTCATTTTAATGAGTGTTCGTACGTGCTATCCTTACGCGGAAGCATTAGAATAATGTCATAAAATCATATACATTCTATTCTATGACAAAATATTAACTGAGCTATAATTGTCCATAGGCCATGTGTGATTCATTGATAAACTTGCAGATTACACAAAAATGAGATTGAAATTACAAACTTTTTTACAGTGTGGAAGTAGGAAGCGGCAACAGGAGTTAGTATTTCACTTTTACTCAGGCTTTCATTCGTGGTCGCAACGTTATGAAATTAGTTTAGCTATGTCTGCTCAAATAAAGGGTCTCAGTGAAAATAGTATTGCTAGAAAAATTACGTGCAACCACTGGGGAGGAGAGTAATTTCAGGCTTTTAATATATAATCAATCTGCAATGGAAGCACTCAAGCTGCTGTTCATGTGCATTGGATTTGCCACGGCAGGTGAATTGTTTTATCATTGATAGTTTTTTGCTAGAATGTTCTAGGAATGCAAATGAGCGTCGATTGCGTTCAGTTGGTATTTTGGGAGTAATGAAAGTTTTCAAGGAAACCTACCTTATTGTCACAAAACCAAAATTTAAAAAATAGGCGATTTTTTCAATGTCAAAAGCTGGGAATGAACCAAAAAAAAAAAAAATTTATCTCGTTATATAGGTTGTTCATAAAGTCTCGATATTGCTGAATCGATACCATATATTGTTTTGTTCCTTACAGATATATTAGATAAGGTAAAATTTTTCGAAGTTGAAGTCTTACATTCAATACTTAAATATCCTATTTTTCTATTCTTCGGGATTGAAATGGTCGAAATTTTTATCAATCCATCAATATAAATTATAAAATATTGAAATAAAATACTTCTCTAAGATATTATTTGGGTTGTGGACAAAATAAGTTCCTTGTCTGATGCAATTACGCATGACACACACTGCTAAATTTATTTTTCTATCCTGTTCAAGAATCAGTTAAAATTATTTCATTTCCGCATTCTTAGTCGATATTTCTGTGAGAGTTTAATTCAGAGGCAGTGCAATGATGAAGCCATACCGCCATGATGAAACAATCACGGTGAGTAATTGCGGCTTATTTTCGTGATCATTCCCTTTTTTATAGCTGACTCAAATTTACTGTTTCATTTTACAGGCAAGGAAAGAAACAGGTGATTTACGGGTTAAAACCCTGCGTTAATCTCTTTTATAAAGTAAATTTAGAGACTATGATAGGTTTGTGATTTGGAGAATTTAAAACCTTTTTATATCTGGCATGACAAAAATGTAACAAATTTTTAATTTGTAACCTTATAAATTATCGTATATATATAACCCCTATTCGTCTTAGACAAGAGCCAGGGGTGGGCAAGGTTTTTGGACCAAAGGACAAAAATCTTGCTCACCCAGACTGGCGGACCATGTAAGTGTGACGTAAAAAGTTTCATTCTATGAAGGAATATTCGTAATGTTACAAAATCAAAGATAGAAAACAATTTTCCTCGTGCCATAACTAAATTGAATCGCGATCTTAACAAATTCCATGTGCTAACGTTCAGCTAAAACATCAAAATTTGATTTTAGATTGGTTGTGTGAGCATCAGGTGGGCCAGATTAAATCACCCAACGGGACGGTATTTGCTCATGTCAGCCTTAGACTCTTATCATCGGAATAAAACCGAGAACATTCTGCTGTCATAAAACTATGATCTCTCATTCATGATCTGATGAAATAATCCATATTTCCCACTTTTAATAGTTAATTCGATCAATTTTACAATACATTTGACCTCAATTACAGCTCTGATTGTGTCAACCGAAAAAAAAACATCCTTGCTCACCCCAAATTACTCCTATTAAAAAGGCGGAGGGAACTAGCCCCTATTTGGTTTTAAAAGGGCCGAAACAGTAGGAAATACATAGATAATCGAATGACCCAATGCAAAATAAATTAGAGCAAAAATGCGAAAAATAGAATCAGTAAATGTCATGAATAATATAAAAAGGAAGATATATAAAAGCAAAATGAAATGTTTGAAATGCTAATCAAATTCGAATGTTGGGAATTTTGTTTTCAAAAACCAGGCCTTGAAAGTTGGCAACAATGAGTAGTTGCACACGAATATCCAGTATTTAACGGAACATGAGACGTAATTTGAATCCCTTTATCTCTGAAAAACGATTGTGCGCCTAATAAATCTGGGCGCTCATTATATTATTCGATACTGCTTTATTGCCTACACTCAAAACCAGTACCGGTACCATTGTTTATAAACAAACGCATGAGCTTTATACGATAGCATAGAAATTTGTTGCGTCTTATATCCCAATGCGCCTTATGTTAGCATAAAACTTGAAATCTAAGGAATTTATTGACGGTGCGCCTTATGGTCCGTAAAATACGGTAAAGTATAAATTGAAAAATACCGTAGTTTTTGTTTTGCGCAGAATTGAGAGAGAAATTGGCTGAAAAGCTTGAAAACGCGTTACTGGACAAAGAGATTGATGAGATTACCATAACAACCGAAGTTTCTCAAGACAACGAGGCTTATTCAACCAAAGTCACCAAGCTTGACGTGACAGCTCCAAATGAACTAGATGGCACGACTTTCGTTACCACTACTGAAGGTGATGACATCACTAAAGCCGTAACGTCATCTAGCTAGCGCACAGAGAAAGATCGTGACGTCACAACAACGACTGTAATTGGAAACGTGTTCACAACTCGATCGATCACTTCTATTGCTTCCACTAGATCATTCCAGAAGTCGACTGCGGCCACATGTGAGATTTTTTGATCACTCTGAATGAAAGGAAATTTAGAAGATGTTTAGCGGCACCACGAGTTAGGGCTAGGCGATCTATGTTAAGCGCGGGTGTGTGTTGTTTACACATTTCTGGTTCGTATATCCACCACCTCGCCCACTGTTAGATAAATTTGTTGGACAATGTGAAACTGGAGATTCTGAACCGTTCGTAGTAGCTCCTTACTTTGTAGTGTGTATTGTGGAGAGCCTTGTTTGGAGTAGAGTCTGAATTTTCTTAAATTTAACAACACCTCATCTCGTGAATTAGATATTACCACATTTGGTGACGCTGCTCGATAACCAGTCTTGATTCCACTTGCCCAGTAAAACTGTAAATATTTTGCTGTTTGGAAAAAATGTTTGGGGTAGAGGCGTATAAAATTTTAATTTTATTTCATTCCGTTTGTGTGTGAATTATTGTGATTCACGTTTATTTTGCTCTGGTATTTTATTTGTTAGATGTGTTTTTAATTATTAATATTTTTGGACAAAATAATTTTTCAGAATGAATTATTTTTCACGAACTGGACACGAGAAAAAATAAACTTTAATAATAACTTTGACTTTGCATGAATAAAATTGTCTTGCAAAACATTACCGGTGTATTTTGAAAGCTTTCACGTAATATCAAGTTGTGGTGAAAGCCAACACTCGAGAATTTTTGGTTCAATTTGATTATTTTTGCACGTTTTAGCAATTTTGTCGATGGTTTTTGAAGGAAGTCTTCGCATTTCACCTCGAATAAGAAAAGCTTTTAATAGAGGAAGCTACTTTCATGTTGATACTTGAGGGAAAAAAAGCAAAATTTCAACCTAGTCGATATTGAGTTCTGAATTGCCTGGCCAACTAGAATTATGTAATTAAACATTTAAAATTAGTGGAATTTCAGTGGCTCCCGGTTTGACTTGGTGCCCTAACCATGTGTTTATTTTGCTTAATGGCTAATCCAGCACTGTAAATCACTCTCGGATGGCGAGAAGTCCAACAATCTTCCCGCACATAATTAAACCTGCTGACGCGAGCAGGGGAATGAGCTGTGAAGGGGCATTCTGGTCCAAACGCTTAGCACGATACATAGCGCGTTTAAATTAAAAAGGGTGCTTCGGTTGCAATCTATACGCGGAAGTATTTGAATAATAACCTATGATGTCATACTATCATACACATGTATCCTTTATGACGAAATAATATGTATACACTGACTTCGATACAATTATTCATTGGCCATGTATGATTCATTATTAAACTTGCATATTATACAAAAATGACATAAAAATTACAAAGTTTTTTACAGTGTGGAATTAGAAAATCGCAGCATTTTATTTTTGCCCGGGCTCACATTTGGATTGTTGTATTACGAAACTAGTTAAGTTATGTTTGTTCGAATGTACCTCTCAGTGAAAAGAGTATTGGAAGAAAAATTACACGAAACCTCTGGGCAGGAGAAGAGTTATTTTAGGATTCTATTCACAAATTTCGCGATTGCAATAAAGTCAATCAGCAATGGAAGCTTTCAAGCTGCTGTTCATTTGCTTTGGATTCGCCACGACAGGTGATTTATTCATTAATAATACTTTGTTGCCGAAATGTAACTGGGCGTCGGCTGCTTTTTAAAGTTTTAACCTGTTTTATATCACACCAAAAGCGATTCCGGGGTAATCCCCATTTTAACAAAACCAAAATTTGAAAATATTCCTAAGTGTTCATGTCAAAAGTGGAAGGAAATTTAGGTTGAAATATCGAAACAAAAAGTTTTTTTTGTTACATAATGTTAACCAGCGTCGAACCCAAATTTCCCTTTTTCAATTTCCTCAAAATTGAAGTCTTATGTTCAAATATCTGTAAGCTGAGTCTTATTTTCAAATTTCTCAAAAAGGGAGTAATATTTTTGATTTCCTTGGGGTTGAGATGTTTATAGTTTTTATCAATCCCTTGAAACGGTTCATGAAAAACTCAATTTGATTTTCTGGTGTATTGGGTCGTCGGAAATTCTTTGTATGATGCATGTACGCAAAATATGTAATGTTAGAATATATTTTTCTATCTCCTTTAAACAGTCAGCTGAAAATTATTTTATTTTCGCATTTCCAGTCGACATTACTGTGAAAGTTCGATTCAGGGGCAGTGCAGTTATGACGCCATACCAATATGAGGAAACGACCACGGTGAGTAATTAGGGCTTATTTTGATGATCATTAACCCTTCTTATAGCTGACTCAACTTTATTGTTTTATTTTACAGGCAAAGAATGAGAAAGGTGAGTTACGGGTTGACCCACTGCGATATTCTCTTTTATAAAGTAAATCAAGAGACTGTGACAGCTTTGTGATTGGGGGAATTTAAAAGCTTTTAGATAATGAAGTCAAATTTGGCAAACATGTTTTAAAACTATTATCGAATTCGAGAGCTGTTAACAAATAGTAGATAGTTGCATCCGAATATATAGTATTCAACAGTAAAGTAGAAGTTGAAAAACACTGTAATTTTTGTTCTGTACAGAATTGAGAGAGAAATTGGCTGATAAGCTTGAAAACGCTTTACTGGACAAACAGATTGATGAGGTTACCATAACAACCGAAGTATTCCATGGCCACGAGGTTCATTCAACCCAGGTCATCAAGTTTGACATAACTAATCCAAATGAACTGGATGGCACCACTTTCGTTACCACTACTAATAGTGATAACATCACTAAAGCCGTTACGTCATCTAGCTTCCAAACAGAGAAAAATCGTGACGTCACAACAACGACTGTGATCGAAAACGTGTTTACAACTCGATCAATCACTTCCATTGCTTCCACTAGATCGTTCCAGGAGTCGACTACAGTCACAGGTTTGATATTTTATTTACTCTAAAAGAGAGGAAAGCATAGACGATTGTATAATGGAATCGCGAGTTAGCCGGTCTATGTCAAACACGGGTGTGTGTTGTTTACACATTTCTCGTTTTTATGTCCACCATCTCTCCTACGTAATGTCGAACCAGAAAGATTCCGAATTTTTCAAAATTCAGCATCACCTTATGTCTTGAATGAGGTATTAGAACTTTGGGTGTTGCTGCTCGATAACCAGTTTTGCTCCCTTGCAACCTCCCCTGCCCAGTAAAACTACAAATATTTTACTGGGTGGAAAAATAGGATTTAATGAAAAAATATTTATAGGTAACTGACTCAAATTGTTTCAGAATGTGGCGTGGTTTACAAATCCAAATGTTTTCAAGCGTTCGTTTATGATAAATGGAACGTTACATTGAGCGCCGCTGAATCTATCTGTAAAAATAAACTGGCTAACATTTATGACGTTACACACTACGACATGCTTCGAGAATATTTACGACCAATGATCCCTGATGGACGATCATGGATTGGTGTTCGTACGGGAATGACTTACAAGGTACGACGAGTCTTATTCATGTCAGTTATGTATCCTTACTTGTATTATTATATTTTTTTTTTGTATTTCTGGCAACTGTTATTTTCCAAAATGACTGAGCATGATAATGGATGTCATCATTATAGATGGTTAGGCATCTTCAGTGGCGTCATCTTTTTTTGATGACTCAGCACGATCAATGACGTCATCTTTTATGTATAGCAATCAGACTTATTCGTGAATCCAAATTGCAGCAATTATCACCGTCGGTATTGCTACATTTCTGAAAACACATATTATTTCAACAGAACGGTCAGCTGTATGCAACGACGGGCCAAGCTGTATCTCTGCCAACTGAGGTTTGGCATCCTAATTATCCATCTTCCGCTGCATCGTTTACAACTGCTGTTGTTGATTTCGCTCGAAATCCGAAAAACAAATATCAAGGGATTTTTAATGTTCTCCCTTCCAATGTATATCACGGAGCCATTTGTGAAAACTTTGTTTAGCTCTGTTTATTGAATGATTGATAAAAAAAAACTGTGAAACTGAATTTAAAAGTAATTTCTGTCCCCTAATTAATTTACATTTCAACTATTTCCAGGACCGACCCGTAGTTGAACAAGCATTGAATCTTGCCGATCTTTTTTTCGGTAGTTTAATAAAACTGTATTTTGTTAGTTAGATTTCTACCGCACAAACGTTTTTTTATTATATTCCTTATTTCTTGAATGAATTTATTATTTTAACCCAATTTGTTCCTGAGAGGATAATAAATATTCTTGAAATGTTAGCAATTCGGTTTTTTCAAATATATATTTCATGTTCAAGACATTTCAAGAAATAATAAAAATTGTTTGATAACTTATATATAATGGCTTAGTATCAGTAACCTCGAAATATTTGAAAAAAGTTTAAAAATATTAATAAGACAAAAAGTAAACTTGTTCCAAAAGCCTAAATAAAATTAATACTTTTTTATAATCTATAAGAAAACTTTGATTTATTATCTAACCAATGGAAGCATTTCCGAAAAAAAAAAATTAGATTTTTGTTTCTATTGAAAACTAGCTAAACTTCGACTACACAACTTAGTAAAGATTGTCGTTTTATACAAATTAGATTCATTGGACAAAACTTGGAATTCGAATCACGAAATAATTAACAAGCATTTTTGATCGCGATTTATTTATGTTATTACTCTATTATTTCTCAGTATTTATTTTATTTCTTTTTAACATTTTTTCCAATACTAATCGCATCTACTTAATCTTTGTACAGTGTCCAGTCCAGATTTTCTGGATTTTGAAGATACAAAATTTGGGCTTGAATGACATGGTTTTGAACTGTTAATAAATTTTAGTGAGCAGTCGGTGTCGTCCAGGCACAAAGAACAGCTGTTAAACCTTTCACGTGATTAAAACCAACTTTAGTAACATCTGGAAAGATGAAATCTGACTGAAATATTTTTCCCGGAGTTTTCACATTTTTTTTCCAACAAGTTCGAGATTCCATATTGTTGATGTTTCAATCCTCCATATCTCCTTATATCAATTGCTAAGTCCATATATTTGTACTGAAACATTTCTCTCAGATTAAATGACATATTAATTAGGAGATTTTTTGCTTTGAAATCTTTTACACATATCAAGATTATTCACGTCAACTTTTGGGTTCAAGTTTTCACTTTCGTTTCGATTTTCACTAAATTAAACTTTTGTTCCCGAGGAAAATATGAGAATTCAAATTATTTGTAAACAAGTTGACAACATTTTTGAATTCAATCGCAGCATTGTGTTTGCTTTGAAATAATTGAGTTTAATTTTTATTCGAAGACTTCGCGTGTCAAAATAAGACAAGTAAATTACATTATTCTAACTTTAACCCTCGACTGTCAGAAACGCCCCAACGGACAGGTAAACTTGATTTTATTCCTTTTGAGTGTGAATTATTGTGATCCCCAATTAATATATTGCTCTGGTATTTCATTTGCTAGATGTGTTTCTAATTATAATTATTTTTCGACAAAATATTTTGTCAGAGCAAACTTAACAAATGATATTTAATAATAATAAATTGAACTTGCAGAAATGTTATTGTTACTTTGCGTGAATAAAATTGTCTTGCAAAATATTACCGGTGTATTTTGGAAGCTTTTACGTAATATATTAAGCTGTGGTGAAAGCCAGCATTCGAGTATTGACGATTTGACGATTTTTGCGCGCTTTACGAAAGACTTCGCATTTCACCCCGAATAAGGAAAACTTTTTATAGGGAAAGCTCTTTCCATGATGATACTTGATAAGAAAAAGAAGCAAAATTTTAACCTGGTCAATATTGAGTTTTGAATCGTGCTCATCTTCAGATCATGATCTTTTTGGGATGTTGGTGTCCTGTATGCTGGCTATATATTAGCGTAGTTAATATCTTAGCGTTAGTGTAATAGGTTTATGTTATTAAAGTTAGGACACAAATCAATGTTATGTATATGCGACAAAAAAATGTAGCGGATGTTGAAAACGAGCGATCGATTGTCTTACGCTGTCTCACAGCAAACCATTGACTGCAAACATTTTATCAAGTGTTGATTTGATCCAATCCTGGAAAACATGAAAGTCTTGCCTTATTTTTAGTTTTTCAAAACTCTGACAAAACTCTGAAGTGGTAGTTTGAAGCAAATACCCAAACGTACAGATTTCTAAAAGAATTTCAGTCCCTAATTTTTCTGGCAATCCCTTTGAATTACATAAATTCCTAGTGCTGACGCGAGCGAGGGAAATATCTATGAAAGGGCATTCTGGTCCGAACTCTCAGCACAATACATAGCGCGTTTAAATTAAAAAAGTTTCGTCGGTTGCAATCTATACGCGGAAGCATTTGAATAATAACCTATGATGTCATACTATCATACACATTACCCTCTATGACGAAATAATATATATACACTAACTTTGATACAATTATTCATTGGCCATGTATGATTCATTGATAAACTTAAATATTACATAAAAATGACATTGAAATTACAGACTTTTTGACAGTGTGGAATTAGAAAGTTGCAGCATTTTTTTTTTGCTCGGGCTCACATATAGATCGTTGTATTGCAAAGCTAGTTTACTTATGTTTGTTCGAATGTAGCTCTCAGTGAAAAGAGTATTAAAAGAAAAATTACACGCAAACTCTGGGGAGGAGAAGAGTTATTTTAGGATTCTATTCACAAATTTAGCGATTGCAATAAAATCAATCTGCGATGGAATCTTTCCGGTTGTTGTTCATGTGCATTGGATTTGCAACGACAGGTGAATTATTTAATATTGATAATTTGTTGCTGGAATGTGACTGAGCGTCGACTGCTTTTTAAAGTTTTACGCTGTTTTATATCACACCAAACCAAACGCAATTCCGGGGGAGTCCCCTCTCCCATTTTAACAAAACCAAAATTTGAAACAATTCCCAAATTTTCAAGTCAAAAGTGGAAGAAAATTCAGGTTGAAATATCAAAACAAAAAGGTAGTTTTTGTTACACAATGTTATCCAGGGTCGGACCCAATTTTCCTCTTTTAAATTTCCTCGAAATTGAAGTCTTATATTTAAATATCTGTGAGCCGAGTCTTGATTTCTTCGGGTTGAGCTGTTTGTAGTTTTTATCAATCCCTTGATATGGTTCATGAAAAACTCGATCAATTTGATTTTCTGGTGTATTGGGTCGTCGGAAATGCTTTGTAGGATGCATGTACGCAAAATATGTAATGTTAAAATATATTATTCTATCCCCTTTAAACAGTCAGCTAAAAGTATTTTATTTTTGCATTTCCAGTCGACATTACTGTGAAAGTTCGATTCAGGGGCAGTGCAGTTATGACGCCATACCAATATGAGGAAACGACCACGGTGAGTAATTAGGGCTTATTTTGATGATCATTAACCTTTCTTATAGCTGACTCAACTTTATTGTTTCATTTTACAGGCAAAGAATGAGACAGGTGAGTTACGGTTCAACCCACTGCGTTATTCTCTTTTATGAAGTAAATTTAGAGACTGCGATAGCTTTGTGATTCGGGGAATTTAAAAGCATTTAGTTAATGAAGTCGAATTTGGCAAACATGTTTTAAAACTATTATCGAATTCGAGAGTTGTTAACAAATAGTAGTTGCATCCGAATATACTGTATTTCACGGGGAGCTTCAGAAGTATTTTTATCAATATCGTGGTAATTAATTTTGTTCGCTTACTCCACATCAAGTTGTGTAAAGGGACGGAAGCTTATGGGCAGGCGTACGTTGAATCTATTTTCTCCTCAAAAAATCGGTTTATAAGCGCCTTATAAGCCGGCCCGCCTCATGTATGATCAATCGGTTCCATTATTTTTAAACCGACGCAACCAAATCAAACCTAAGCTACTCATTGGTCGTGCGCCTTATGCTCCACAAAATACGGTACTCAACGGTAAAGTAGAAGTTGAAAAATACCGTAATTTTTGTTTTGTACAGAATTGAGGGAGAAATTGACTGAAAAGCTTGAAAACGCTATACTGGACAAACATATTGATGAGGTTACTATAATGACCAAAGTATTCCATGGCAAGGAGGTTCATTCAACCCAGGTCATCAAGTTTGACGTAACAGATCCAAATGAACTGGATGGCACTACTTTCGTTACCACTACTGACGGTGATGACATCACCGTTACGTCATCTAGCTTCCAAACAGAGAAAGATCGTGAGGTCACAACAACGACTGTGATCGAAAACGTGTTCACAACTTGATCGATCACTTCCACTGCTCCCACTAGAATGACTAGATCGTTCCAGTCGACCGCGGCCAAAGGTTAGATTTTTCGTTCACTGATAGTAGATTGTTTAGCGGCACTACGAGTTAGGCCCTCTATGTAAGCGAGGGTGTGTGTGGTTCACACATTTCTGGTTCTCTTGTCCACCATATCGCCCATTGTTAGATAAATTTATTGAATATCATGAAACCGGAGATTCCGAACTCTGCATAATAGCTCCTTACTTTGTAGTATGTTTTTTACAGAGCCTTGTTTGAGTAGATGCTTATCTAAGTAACTGACTTCAAATGATGTTCTTTGTAATCTTTATTTTCAGGATGTGACATCGTTTATAATTCGAAATGTTTTGAAGTGATCTTTTCAGCAGATGTTACGTTGAGCGCTGCTGAGTCTCTTTGCGAAAACAAACTTGCTAACATTTATGACATCACACGCTACAAACAGCTTCAAGAATATTTACGAGTAATGATTCCTGATGGACTGTCATCGATTATTGTTCGTACGGGAATGACTTACAAGGTGGACGGGTCAGGGCCATGTTGCTTACGTGGCCGTACATGAAATAAATATATTTTCTTTGTATTTCCGGATATTTTTTTTTAAATGACCGAGCATGACGTCATCATCTGTAGATGGCTGAGCATGATCAATGGCCTCATTATTCACAGATAAGTGAGTATGATCAGTGACGTCAAAATTTAGAGATTACTGATTGTGATCAGTGACCTCATCATATGCGGATGACTGAGCATGATCAGTGGCGTTATCATTTATAGATGGCTGAGTTTGATCGGTGATGTCATCATTTACATATTACTGAGTATGATCAGTGACTTCATTGTTTGCAGATGACTGAGCATGATCAGTGACGTCATTTTTTACAGATGGTTGAGTATGATCAGTGACGTCATTATTTACTGATGGCTGAGTATGATCAGTGACGTCATAATTTGAAAATGACTAAGTATGATCAGTGAGGTCATCTTTTACAGATAGTTGAGTATGATCAGTGACGTCATTATTTACTGATGGCTGAGTATGATCAGTGACGTCATAATTTGAAGATGACTGAGTATGATCAGTGAGGTCATCTTTTACAGATGGCAAGCACACCTATTTGTGAATCCACACTGCAGCAATTATTACATTTAGTTTCGCTACATTTCTGAAACACATATTTCATCTTAATAGAACGATCAGCTATATTCAACGACGGGCCAAGCTATCTCTCTGCCAACTGAGGTTTGGTATCCTAATTATCCACATTCTGATGCATCGATGACTACTGTTGCTGTTCGTGTCACTCGAAACCCGGAAAACAATTATCAAGGGATTTTTAATATTCCTCCTTCCTATGCATATCCCGGAGCAATCTGTGAAAATGAATTATAACTCTGTTTATCGAATGATTGATAAACAAAAAACTGTGAAAACGAATTTAAAGTGATTTATGTAACTTAATTTACATTTCAACAATTTCCAAGACACGTAGTTGAACAAGCATTGAATCTTGCCGACTTTTCTTGTTTATTTTAATAAAACTGTATTTTGTTAGTTAGATTTGTACTGAACAAAATATTTTTTCATGTTATTCCTTATTTCTCGAATAAATTTATTATTTTAACCCAATTTGTTCCTGAGGAAATGATAAATATTCTTGAAATGTTAGCGATTCGGTTTATTCAAATATATATTTCATGTTCAAGACATTTCAAGAAATAATAAAAGTTGTTTAATTTCTCATATATAATGGCTTTGTATCAGAACCTCGAAATATTTGATAAAAGTTTAAAATAATATTAATAAAACAAAAGGCAAACTTGCTCCAAAAACTCAAAATAAAATTAACAATTTTTCATAATCTATAAGTAAATTTTGGTTTAATATATAACCAATGATAGTCTGCAATTCCGAAAAAAAAATTAGAACTTCGTCTAATTTATTGTATTAATTCGTAATAATTTATTCGTTATCGTTTACGCCGTAATTTTTCAGGATTGACAATGTGGCAGCAAATAATACTCTTTGTAGTGACGTAAACTATTTCTAATACCCATAGTTAACAAGCATTCAAATATTGCCTGGCCTATGTCGGGTTTTCCTTGCGTAGGACTTTCAATAAAACTGCATTTCGTTTGTTAGATTTCCACCAAACAAATAATTTTTATTTTTTACTTATTATACTTATTATTTTAACCCAATTTCTTCCGAGTGAATGATAAAGTATATCGAAATGTCTGTGATTTGATTTTTTCCATGAAGTGTAAAATGATTTCATATCTTATAGGTAATGACTTAGAATTAGTAATTCTAATTTAGGAACATTTTAAAAATTCCTTCCCTTCAAGTATAAAAATCTTTCAGATATTCGTCAATAAACCCTATTTTGTCTGGCCAGTGAAGTTAAGCAAATCCACAATCGACTCCTTATTTGCCTGGTTACAAATTGAGCTCCGAGAAATCCAAATTTTGACATTGAAAACTCTGGTGTATCCAAGCCGTTTTTAATTTAATGTTTCGAAAGTCTAGTTAACTTGATATTTTCGGAACAAATAAGTAAGACTTGATATACAACTATTGAGAGTCTGAAATTCAGACAAATTCAGATCGTCCCCTGAACTTTGTGTAAGGTTTGTCAGTTTACAACGAATCATTTTATGCAAATTAGATTCATTTAGAAAAATCGAAATCAAAATCACAAAATAATCAAGTAATAATTGGGTACTTTCGTGAAAACATTTTTGACCGTGATTGATTTATATTATTGCTTTAATATTTCTCAGAAATTGTTTTATTTCTTTTTACCCTTCATAAAACGGAAACGTTTACAGTAACAGCAGTACAAATGATAACTTTTTTTTACTGGAATATTTCGTGCATTGTTTTCAGATTTATTTCAAAAAATCTATGAGTTCTGTTATCAATGTTTTAGGCCCCTTTATCAGTTGTTAGGTCCATATATTTTGATAGATATTTCTCCCCGATAAAAAATACCACAATAATTTTTGCTATGATATCTTTTACGAAGAATTAACTCAACTTTTGAGCCAAATTGAACACAAAAGTGAAAAATCAGACCCATTTTTAACTTTTGTTTTCAATTTGACTTATTTTTGATTTCCATGATATTTAAAATTTTGTTTTCACAAAAACACATTCAAGTTGAATACAGTTATAGCATTGAGCTTACTTCAAATAGGTAAGCTTTATCATTTTTATTCGTAGACCCCTTTGGCTGTCAAAATATGACAAGCGAACTCCTCTATGAATCCAATCACAGCATCGTTTGCTTCAAAATAAGCAAGTTTTTTATTCTCCTAATGACCCCCGTACCCCACCCCCCCCCCCCCCCCCCCCCTCTCGACTGTCAATAATTGCCCTAACAGAAAAGCAACTTTTATTCCTAAAGTGTGTGAATTATTGTGATTCCTTTTGAACTTGCTCTGGTATTTTATTTTTTAGATATGTTTCCTATTATTATCAATTTTCGACAAAATATTTCGCCAGAACAAATTATTTTTCACGAACTGAACTAAAAAATGAAATTTATGAAAATAGTTTGAACTTCTAGTGCAGAAATATTATTTTTTACTTTGTGTGAATAAAATTATCTCACAAAACATCAACAGTGTATTTTGAAAAATTCATCATCATTTTTGGTGCAATTTAACGAGTTCCACACGTTTTAGCATTTTTTTACGGTTTCTGACGGAAGTCTTCGCTCTGAATATGGAAAGCTTTAATAGAGAAAGCTACTGTCATGTTGATGATTGAGGATAAATGAAGCAAAATTTCAACCTGGTCATTAACATTGAGAATCATTGCAAATTCGTCTATAGAATTTTTGTGGCGCTCCGTCTGCCTCGGTACCCTAACCATGTACTCATTTCTGCTTAATGGGTAATCCAGCACTGTGAATCACTCTCAGATGGCGAGGAGTCCAGCAATTCTCCCGCACATAATTGAACCTGCTGGCGCGAACAGGGTAATAAGCAATAAGAGGGCATGCTGGTCCAAACGCTCAGTATGATGACATCGAGCGCTCATTTTAATGAGTGTTCGTTCGTGCTATCCTTACGCGGAAGCATTAGAATAATGACCTGTGATGTCATAAAATCATATACATTCTATTTTATGACAAAATATTAACTAAGCTATAATTATTCATTGGCCATGTGTGATTCATTGATAAACTTGCAGATTACAAAAAATGAGATCGAAATTACAAACTTTGTTACAGTGTGGAAGTAGGAAGCGGCAACAGGAGTTAGTATTTCACTTTTACTCAGGCTTTCATTCGTGGTCGCAACGTTATGAAATTAGTTTAGCTATGTCAGCTCAAATAAAGGGTCTCAGTGAAAATAGTATTGCTAGAAAAATTACGTGCAACCACTGGGGAGGAGAGTAATTTCAGGCTTTTAATATATAATCAATCTGTAATGGAAGCACTCAAGCTGCTGTTCATGTGCATTGGATTTGCCACGGCAGGTGAATTGTTTTATCATTGATAGTTTTTTGCTAGAATGTTCTAGGAATGCAAATGAGCGTCGATTGCGTTCAGTTGGTATTTTGGGAGTAATGAAAGTTTTCGAGGAAACCTACCTTATTGTCACAAAACCAAAATTTAAAAAAATAGGTGATTTTTTCAATGTCAAAAGCAGGGAATGAACCAAAAAAAAAAAAAATTTCATCTTGGTATATAGGTTGTTCATAAAGTCTCGATATTGCTGAATCGATACCATATATTGTTTTGTTCCTCACAGATATATTAAATAAGGTAAAAATTTTCGAAGTTGAAGTCTTACATTCAATACTTAATTATCCTATTTTTCTATTCTTCGGGATTGAAATGGTCGAAATTTTTATCAATCCATCAATATAAATTATAAAGTATTGAAATAAAATACTTCTCTAAGATATTATTTGGGTTGCGGACAAAATAAGTTCCTTGTTTGATGCAATTACGCATGACACACA